TACATATGCATATAGGATCCTGTGCTTTTTGGAGCATCAGTACGCTATAACCTTGATCCATTCCAACAATATGATGATGATAGAATATGGAGGACATTAGAACAGGTATGCATGGGATTTGGTTGATACTGACTTCATTATACTTTTATAGGTTCAGTTGAAGAGTGTAGTGGAGGAACTAGAAGGAGGTTTAGAGAGTTTAGTGAGCGAAGGAGGAGGTAACTTAAGTGTGGGACAGAGACAGTTGTTCTGTTTGGGGAGAGCTCTCCTTCAGAGTAACACTATCCTGATATTAGATGAAGCCACTGCTAATGTAGACATGGAGTGGGTACTGTACACATGCATACACTTGTACTAATAACCTGTGTGTGTTATGATCCAGGACTGATGCTATCATTCAACAAGTGATACGTGAACAGTTCTCTAATTATACTGTACTAACTATAGCTCATAGATTGGATACTGTCATGGACTCTGACAGGATTATGGTATGATATTTGTAATTGTGTCCTAATCTCCCTTATATTTACTAGATACTGAGATCAGGTGAATTGATAGAGTTTGATGTACCTCATATACTCCTCAGTCAATCATCATCATATCTCAGTAAACTAGTGGAGCAGACCGGACCTAACAATGCTGAAAGATTGAAGAATATTGCTCTTGATTATTATAATAAGCTCAATTAAATGATTAGTATGTAGATTTATTCAAAAATATTTAGAACTGTTAAGTGAAATATTTTGATTTGCATGACTGATGCTATTCTACCATTGGGTGCTCTCTGTGGCTTGTGGCTTCTAACAATTATTAGTGATACATGCTTAGTGGCAAAAAAATGATGAATGAATCTAATATAGTTGTCAATTTATCAGTGCTGGGATCACTAAAAATTTTATCAATAAGGCTAAATTCCATGTCAGCATGGAGAAAAATCACCAAAAAATAAAATAAAATTTTTTTCAGTTTTTATTTTATTGTCCACTATTATTATCATTATTACACTAAAAGAATAAGCAACAACTATTTCAACAAGTAAAATAAAAGATAAATAAGGTGCATTGATGCAACACAGTAACAAGGCTGGCCACCTAGCACACAATAAAACAAACAAAAGGCAAAACCTAAAGTGAATTGCATGCAAAACACAAAAATAATGAGACAACAGAAAAAGACTAATAAAGGATCAAATTATCAACAAAAAAGATCAGTCTTAAAATAAATTTTTGAGGGAAGAAATTACTTACTAAATTCTACCACTACAAATGCTTAATATTCACTATTGGTAGTGGCTTGTATGGCTGCTCTTTTCTGTGCTTATCAATCAATGTCTTTTTTTGATCTTTAAGAGTACCCACAAATAGAGAAGGAGGAGGAATAATTCCAAAATTAATCTCAATATATTCAAGAGATGGATGGATGAAGATAGTTTTGTATAAATGTTGCAATGTTTCTTTCCAGTTAGGTAAAGGTTTTGACTCATTATCAATGCCTAGACAGTTTATCCTCAGTCGTCTGATTGTCATATGCAATGATAACATGTTAGTAACAGCAGGTAGTAACAGTTCATACATCCAAAATGTTAGAAACTGTTCCCTCCTCAGTTTCAGTATCTCCTTTGCAACCTCTTCACGACTGTCACTGTGTAAATAAACATCAAAAGCTTCTTTAGCAAATGTAAAGTTCATTATAAGCTCTGCGAGATTATTCTTCTGAGAAATGATGTCAGTAAATGTTGTTATATCTTTATTGAATGGAATGTTTACATTCAACCGCTGTAGACTCGTGTTGTGTCTAAGACCAGTTATTAGGAAGGACAGGAATGAATTAGGAATACATTCAACAAAGTAATCATAAATTTCAAAGCATTTCAGTGTTTGGTTTTGTGTTAGCATGCCCTGTAAACTAGTACCCATACAGCTGGTATATACCGTTACACCCTCCCTACGAATCTCCACAATCAAAACTTGAAGTGTAGTATTCATTTGTAGAAAAGTAAATAGTTCAATAGCACTCTCGGCTGTCTTTAGTTGCAAAGTAAGTGTATGTAAATTGAGATGAGAGAAAGAAAAATGTGGTGGACATGGTTCATGTAACATCAGACAGTTACATCTTTTCATAAGTGGAATGAGTAATGTCATCTTACTAGGATTACAAAATATTTTTCCTATTTGTAGAGCAGTCAGTGGTGTGTTCACTTCTACTATGTTTAATGATGATGGCAGGGCTTCATCAGGTATGTCCAATGAAAGAGCTTGTAAGCTGCTGTTGTCCTTTAGTAGTTGTTCTAATACTCCATCAGGTAGACAATAAGAAGGATCGAAAGGAGGATCATAATCATCAACACGAATATAAAAAATGGATACTGAAAATGATGTTATTTTTTTATTTTTTGTTACTCCTCTAATGACACTGATGATGGTATTACTTATTACTTCATCAGCAGAATGCTCAATCTTCATTTCTTCCAGTGTTGAGTTCATTTCTATACGTTTCTCAAGTTCAACACATTTGTTTGTGTACACATTGCCAACAGTTGGTGTATCAGTCATCGTCAAATGCAATATCCTCAACTGATGAAGATTGAGAAACTGCAGCAATACAAGACAAGAGACATATTGGCCTGATACTAATTCACAGTAGCACTCCTGAATATTGTCTAGAAGTGACAATTGTAATAACTTGTGCATTAATTCATTAGTGGGATCATCCAACTTTACCTCTAAAATCTTGCACTGGGTCTGTACAACATGCAGTGAGTTATTGGTTAGTCCAGCAGTGAAGACTGATACTGCATGTTTAGATACATTTCCCAGGTGCAAGTGATTCCATGTTGTGTTTGAATTGTTTATAAAATAAGCAAGACACAACCAGTCATACAATGATAATGACATTTGACCTTCATCCAGACACAGTGAGTGGTTTTTGATGGATTGTGCTAATAATTGACATAATGCTGTGTGCTGTGTTTCATACAGCAGTTGAAGAAGAAGAATGGGAACATTGTCAACATCATCTAAGCTTTTGATATGAGTATATTTTGTAATCTCAGAATTTTTACAAAAGTAGGAGAGATAACAACTTTCAAGTCCATACAATGGTTCTCTCTTACACTGTAAGTCAAGTTGTTTATTAAAATACTGTTGATAGCTCTCGTGCTCAAGGTGAGTTAGACCTGCAACAAACCTCAGACACATTCGAAAGTGATCATCATCAAAGTGATTCTTAAACACTTCCTGTGTCTTCTTCTCATGCTTAGCTATCCACCATGCAGCTAGAAATTCCTGTATGCTTAAGTGAAGAAACTGATACTTCTCCTCATCATATTCTATGAATGTTGTCATCAATCCAAGATAATCTTCCTTGACTACCTCATTATGTAAAGAGAATACCATTTTCGTATTATTAGCCAGGTTAGTATAAGCTATTTGACACATCTCTTGTAAAGGTCTAGATAACTGTGATGGCAATGAAGAAAGAGTATTTAAACTACGTGGGTTAATATCATGTCTTTTAATGTGTCTTCTGATAGTTTGTAGAATAAAGTTCTCATACAGTTGAGTGAGTGTTGTTGGAAGGTGTCCCCCTTCCTTACAATAAACTAAGATGACCATGGAACAGACCAATGGTACATAACACAATGACAAGACGTCACTTCGTACTTTAAGGTCATTAATGAGTTTTACTGCTAGTTGTGAGTCCTTATTGCTTTGAACAGTTGCAAAATGTGGTTTGTATTCTACATGTGAATTTAATTCTTTAGTTTTACTTGAAGTTTTATTTTCATCAATAAGTTTTTGTGCAAGTTTCTGATCTTTTTGAAGTGTTTGTATGATTACTGTTGATATTTCATGCTCAAAAAAACCAATGACTTGAACATGTCTACTGAGATTATCCACCTCTAATAGTGAAATGGAGGCATAACTACGAGAAGTAACAATCACTGAACAGTGACGCAATTGTTTTCTATGAATGATACTAGTAGCTATTGAAGATTTTCTGAGTTGTTCACTTAGTTCATCCCAACCATCGAAGATTATTAGTAATCCTTTTCCCTCTCTATCTGACAACCAATCAACTGCTTTTGAAACCTTAGGGCTTTTATACTCAAACAGTTCAGCTAGTGTAGTAGCTGTAGCTATCTGGCTATTCCTTAAAGGACAGTAAAGTACCAAGTCATACTGCTGGGGCCCAAGTGCTCCGTTTGCCCAACTATTTAACAGTTTACGACAGAGTGTTGTCTTGCCAATGCCAGGAGGACCATCTATTACTACTCTGAGAGACAGAGAATTATCTGTAGGTTGGAGGACATCTTCAACACTTATCTCTTTGTCTTTAGGTAGTTTAACAATTTTATCAACTTGTCCTCTTAGCAAATACCAAGCTGATTCTGCTTGTGTACTGTGGTCTTGTTTTTCTACTAATGCTAATCTTCCAAAGAAATCTTTTCCAACTCTTGGTGGCCAGTCTATAGCAACAATAGGCTGGTGTTTGTAGTGTTGTCTCATATCATCAGCATATCCTTGAACATCATCAGGTATTAACGTAATAAATGTGGCATTATCGGGTATAGATTGACCTAATGTATTGAGATATAATGATGACTACATTGATCACTGATAATGTACATGCACACATGCACACACACACACACACACGCGCACACACGCACGCACGCACACACACGCACACACACACACGCACACACACACACGCACACACATACCTAAATGATGTAAAATAGAGGTTGCAATATCTGTTATTGTAAGATGCCGCTGATTGATTAATACATGACATATATCAATTAGGTACTGGTCTGGATAAACAGACGCTTCTAATCGTCTTTGTAATACTGACACTAATTGACTTGATTTAATTAAATCTGATATTCCTGTTGCTGTTTGAATATGACTAACAGTTTCCATTGATATAAGTCCTTTGGCATATAGTCCATTTGTTATTCTGTAAAGATTATCAGTAATAGCATCAATAAGAATAGCATAATTCTTTCTTAATATTGTACTAGGAGTATTACCTGCAGTTAGAATGTGTATCAGTGTTATATTTTTATAAAGTGTATATTTACCTGCTATGAGACCAGGCCCAGGATTACGTTCGACATCTCCTGATAAGAGGATTAAATGTAGTAAATGTAGATAAGCAACCCCACTAAAGAAATAATTGTAAATCAGGTCAGAGCTGCTACCTCCAGGCATAACTACTGACTGGAGGGAGTTTACACCAGTAACAGTAACAATAGAAGTACATTGGTAGCAGTTAGTGTTGCCTAAATAAAATACTAGTAATAGATCTATCTAAAAATGTAAATTCAATATAGATCTACCTGTTTGAGGAATCATAAATATGTGCATTGATAAAGATACAGATAGAAAGAGAACCAAAAAAACAATAGGTGCTGGAAGTTTAGATCTTGTCCCTCCTAATGTAGATTTAGTACTGCTTAAGCAGGACTTGCTGTTAATGAATGAGTGAGAGTGGCAGCTATTAGTGGCTACAGGTCCACAGGATGCAGCTTGACAGCAGTTCCACAGTCCAATGCTTGCTCTCCATTGAGAAACATCAATCATCTAATATAATGAAGTAGATTACTGGTGGTACATAATTTTTAGTAAATTGCTCTACCTCTAATCCACTGATACTAAACAACAAAGGATAAACCTATCTATTGGTGGGAGCAAGGTAGGAGGAATCATAAGGAATGCATTATCAAAGCTGTGCAAGCAGCGCTGTTCTTCTATATTAAATTTTAAATGTTTTAATGACCCAACCCCTCCCCCGAAGAATTAAATGGCAGTGGAAGAACGATCTAAAGATGAAATTCTCCACAAGTTTAAGGAACGTCAGGTTTTTGCTCAGAGGCTTTTAGAAGAAGCCAATAGGTTAAAATCTGAAGAGAAAATACTTGGAATGCAAAGAATAGAAAAACAAATAAAAGCAGAAATGGAAATGCTGGAAAAGGTATAATTTATATTAACATTCTTTTTACATATGTATAATTCTTGCTATTCCCTTAGTTGTTAACTGGTTCTCAGATTATTAAAGACCATCACATAAAAAGCACTAACCTTCTCCATCTTGAAGGAGTCATTCACATAATCAAAAACACTCACTTTATGTTGTCGAAGAGTAAAGGATCTCTTACGGCAGTCGAAAGGTTTTTTAAATTTACCGACAGCACTGGTATTGTTCAGAATACAATGGTGGATGTAGTTTGTAATGGTGGCGCCAG